AAGAGAGAAACATTTGTGGAATTCTCTATTTTCCCCTAGGAAGATTCCATGACACTTCTGATTCTATCTGGGTTGGCATTGCTGGTCCTAATTTGTTACCTCCCAGGAAGAAACACGGTTGATAGAATCTACCCAATAATATTGCTAAGCGCTTAGGACGCTAGGAGATATTAGGAGTTCTCTCTTCATCAAATCAAAAGTGAACTGTTGCAGCTTGTCCTGGGGAAAGCCCAGCTTTGCAGACACAACTTTATTTTCAGCGCTTGATTATTTCCTGATTCTAAGAATTGAGGCTGTCTCCTTTCAGTTTTAGAAACAAAAAAGCCAAAGAGTATCAGGGCTGACCAAATATAGACACTGGTTTGTCTGTGTTACCACGCAGAGGAAAGTACTACAGAAGCTTTTCCAAATGTAGAACTATTTTAAAAGCCACTGAGGTTTTTCAATGTGAGGACCCCACTGCAATTTCAGAAACACCCAACTTCATTTGGTGGACTTGTGATCTGATTTCACTTTGCTTTGAAGTATGAAATAAAGTCAACAAGTACAGTGCTGTACTAGATTATTTTACAAATAAAGGAATAGAAGACTCAGAATCACAAGCCTGGGCTAGTGAAACCATTAAAAACAAGGCAGGTACTAAATTAGTCAAAGGTTCATGTGTGTCTTGGCTATTTCTTGCACTTAATGTCCAAGTTGTTTCCTTATCTTAATAATTTTAAATTTACAGGGTAGGATTATGTTTGAATGGAAAATAGCTTGCATCTACTGATTTAAAAAAACTCACAAACGTAGAAACCATATTGCACTGCTTTTTATTATTCTAACTTCCTAGCAGTGACGTATCTGTGCTAGCTAAAATAAGCATTGTAGAAGCAAAGGTCCTCACGTTTTGTTCACTGATGTTCACCAGCTAAAGTTGAAAGAGTTCTGACTGCTCTATCCTCTCCTTTACCACCCCCTGTGCCAATGTCTGCTGAGTCACCACTAAGCCTTCCCTGCATTTATTTATTTATACATCTCATTGCATGTTTCCAGCTCTCAGCACAGTGTAACATGGTGGGTGTTCGCTATGTCTGTGTTGAGTGAAAAGATAAATCAAGAGGGGAGCCGGGGGGGGGGAGGCAAGGCTGTAGGGCCCAGGGATTTTTAGGGCAGTGGCACTCTCCGGCATGATACTGACGTTATACCTTTGTTTACAACCACAGAATGTCAAGCACAAGGAGTGAACCCCAGTGTAAATTATGGGCTTTAGTTAATGCTGTTGCATAAATATCAGCTCACAGATTGATCAATGTGCCACATTAATAGGAGATGTAACTAACAGGGGAAACTGTCAGGGGGAGGGGAGAAAAGAGGATGTGAGAACTCTAATTTTAGATCAGTTTTTCTGTAAACCTAAAATTTCTACTACTTTTAACAACAACAAAAGATGAATCAAGACAAATCGGATGAGCTGGTTTTGTGTTCTTCGTGTATACTGGAAGCAACAGGAACCCCAATTTGACTAGCATAGATGAAAAGGTAGATGTGTTGGTTTGCTTAAGGGGAAAGCATGAAAGCCAACTGGAACTGGGGACGTCAATGCTGTTTTAAATCTTTGTGACATTCTAGATTGAGTTTCTTCATAATGCACACATTAAAGTGGCCAGCCCCTCCCAGGCTCCCAGGCCTGCCACAGTGAGGATGGGGGTAAGCCAAGCTAAATCCACTCCTTATGGGAGAGGAGAGATGGGTGCCAATTAGATTTCAGTCTGGCTGTTCCCCCGGCTGGAGACAAGGAGGCCTGGCAGGGGCCCCTTGCAGTTATCCTGGCAGGAGGGAAGGAGAGGTAGAGAGAGTGATGTGGACACATTCTGTATATAGTCTGAAGACAAGGCCCTTAGGACTTATCGGGATCTGTGGTATAAAGTGTGACAGAAAAGAATGAGATGTGACTTCAAAGTTTTTGTCCTGAACAACTCAAAGGATGGAGCTGTCTTCACCTGAGAAGAGGAACATCCATACTGGCAGGTGCTGGCAGATACCAGGACCTTCATGCTGGACACATTACGGTTTATTAGTCCTCCAGCGGGAGATGTCAAATAAGCAGTTGGATATCTGTAGGTGTCTTCCTCCAACTATCTACCCCACAGATAGGTTCCTGGCTGTCATTGTTTATTGTACCCTCCATGGGAGCAGGGACTTTGTTACTATATCCTCCATGTCTAAAGGCAGCCTGAGCACAGACCTGCTCAGTAGAACACAGCAGGTGGACTGAGGATAGAGGTATAGTCAGGAAGTATCTGCACGAAGGGAAATTTGCTTTCTTGGATATTACTAAGGAGGCGTTTGCAACAGGCATTCTGTCACAAATATTTTCTGTGAAGAACTCTGTGAAAATGAAGAGACGCTTGCAAGGCTTCTGTAAACTTTTATTTTATCCTTATGGGCCACTGCCATCTCAGGGCCGTGGCTTCTGGCTCATTTCTACAAAGTTACTTGTTGGAAAGATGTGGTAAATGCGGGAACTGGAAAGGTTCCTACGAGTCAGCCACAGTTACTGACCAGTCCATAAGCAAAATGCACCTGAAGCCTTCAGAAATCTATGACTCTCTGAATTTATAAAATGCAAACTTTTAATATGAAAGAAACAAAGCATCTTAAGAAAAAAACAATTGTCTAAACAAAATGGTGTGAACGTACAGCTTATATTATAGGCATATATCACGGCACATGAGGCACCAGTGGAAGAGAAGGATAACTGCTAGCACACCAAGGCACAGTATTTCTTAGCCCTGCGATGCGAGCAACTGGAAAGTGACATTATTTGCCCTGTGACTGTGCTCAACTTAGCAAATGAGCTTAGCTCATTTGTCATCAGCAATCTGTTGGGCGAAGTGGGACAGACACATCTGCCGACTTGTCAATTTCATCACCCCACAGAGTTGAGGATTAGGACACTCTAATACTTGAAAGTGTAATGACTTCTGCTCCAGCACAGGAGATAATATGATCCCAAATAATGCTTTATCAAACCAACTGACCAAACAAAACCTTATCTTGTTAACCCATGGCTCACCCCTTTTCATGCTGCTGCTTACATCCCATTTGTGACAGGGTCATGGTGTCAAGATTTATGAATACAGAACCTTGTCATAGGTTGAAACTGAGGTGCGTTGTCACAATGAACAATCACCTGCATTCCACTCAGAGTATGTGCTTTGGCACAACTACAGGGCATTATTATTAGATTAGATTAAATCCATACAAACCAGCAAAGGAGACATCATGTGTGTGTGTACACACATACACATTCAATGGGGACAGTCACAGAACTGGCTACAAGAAATACCATTGTTTATACACATACACATCACACACACACGCACACCAGTAAAGGATTTTCTGCTGTACTCACAGTCTGTAAACATCTAGGAAAATGCCCAGCAAAAATCACTGTGGGCCCTTTGAAATGATGACTGTGTGAGACGTCAGGCGTGGAGTGGGGAGTTAGGTCCACAGCAAATACCCAGAGGAGTGGAGAACCATAAGTTCATGATGACATTTGGGGGTAACTATATTTCACAGACAGGAAAAGTTCATCACTTTGCAATTATGCTTCTTACACGGAGAAGTATTACTGCCAGCTAAGATTTTAGGAAAAGTTAAGAGAATAAGAGATGACATCTATAATATATATACATGTATGTATATACATATGTTACAATTACAAAAAACTCAATGAAAATTTCCAAACCTTCTAAAAATACTCAGTCTTTTCCTCCTAGATTTGCTTTAGACTTCTGGACATTGCACGGAAAGTCTCAGGCATAGTTGACACATTCCTTTAAATTTTGGTACAGCATACTGAATTTACATGAAAACTTACATTACAAAAAGACTGAGCTTCTGAAAAAGAACCATTTGATCCAAGTGTCATTTTTCAATTTAACAACAACAAAAAATATGTTCAAGATCTCCTGTAACAAAACACTATTAAGAAAGAAAATACAAAATCTTAAAAATTCTTTCAATAATGGCTGTTAAATGTGGATACCAGTCTGTGCTCTAAGGGGCAATATTTCTTGCAGCTTTAGAATTCATGTTTTATTTTATTTGATTTTTTGAGACGGAGCCTCAAGGTGTCGCCCTGGGTAGAGTGCCATGGCATCACAGCTCACAGCAACCTCCAACTCTTGGGCTCAAGTGATTCTCCTGTCTCCGCCTCCCAAGTAGCTGGGACCACAGGCACCCGCCACAACGCTCGGCTATTTTTTGGTTGCAGCCGTCATTGTTGTTTGGTGGGCCTGGGCTGGATTCGAACCCACCAGCTCAGGTGTATGTGGCTGGTGCTTTAGCTGCTTGAGCCACAGGCACTGAGCCAGAATTCATGTTTTAAAAACAGAAATTTTGATCAAACTACTTTCTTCAAAAAAAAAAAAAATGCAGTGACATGAGAAATAGTCACTTAAATGTACACCTGAATGTTTTTTCTTTTGGCAAAATATGTGTATGTTAGCTCAAATCATCATTTTTGGCTATGATGCAGTTAAAGAATATTGGCACTGAATGATGTTTCAAATAAAACTGGCTTACCCCATATCCTATTTGGCCAAAAATAAATCACTTAAAAAATGGAAAATCTTGTCATAATTTTTGAAGTTTTGTAGTGACCGATTTTCATTGAACTTTGACAGAACTGCCATGACAGCTAGTCATGGGTGTATTTGAATCTATTTGAATAGTCATGGATCTATTTTCATGCAAGTGTAGTAAATATCCTCTTTGATGCATATAACAGTCTCCATTCTTCTCCAGCTCCCACCATTAAAAAACAAGGTTGAATATAACATGTAGGATACGAAAATTGGATAAATCACAGAAGGAAGATTTCTAGACTGTGGGGATAAACCAGTCCATCCTCTGCTGTTTTGGAAAAGCATTTCTTCTCTACTGAGTTAGGGAAGAAGGATTGGAGAAGAGGTTTCTGGGCACGCAGCTGCTGTGTGATCTTCTCCTCCCGCAGGACAGAGAGGAACACCGGTGCATGTACCTCCAGGCTCAGTTGATACTGTCCTTGTGGCTGCTTCGCTCTGTGTTGTGGTTGTTTTGGTCATGGTTTTTCCACTGGATGCTTGTTCCGTTCATGGGGACGGAGGTCATCAGACTTTTGGACTGGTAACAGCAGCAGCAGAGGCACGACTGGGAGAAGGAACACACTTGTGTCAATGTGAGCTCACCAGCCCCTTCCCAGCTGCCAACAGGGGGTGGGTATCCACACACAGTTGAGGAAACTGAGCTAGTGGTCATCTAGTGTAGGAGCCTCTCATCTCTAGGCAGATGTTAAGCTGCCCACTCCAGTGCACAGAAACAGGTCCTTTGTTTCTTATTTATTTATTTTTGAGACAGAATCTTACCCTGTCACCCTCGGTAGAGTGCTGTGGCATCATAGCTCACAGCAACCTCAAACTCTTGGGCTCAAAGGATCCTCCTGCCTCAGCCTCCCGAGTAGCTGGGACTACAGGCACCTGCCACAACACCTGGCTAGTTTTTCTGTTTTTAGTAGAGACATGGTTTTGCTCTTGCTCAGAAGCTGGTCTGAACTCCTGAGCTCAAAGGATCCACTCAGCTTGGCCTCCCAGAGTGATAGGATTATGGGCATGAGCCACTGTTCCCGGCTCCTTGCTTCTCATTTGAATTCTATTTGCCAAGTATGAAGTGAGGCAGTGCTGGCCGGAGGGAGGGTGAGGTGTGGGGGTGAAGGGCTCTCTGCATCAGGTAGCTCAGGTGATCCTCACAACAGTCCTCAGTACAAGGTGCTAGTTCCCTGCTTTCATGAATGAGGACAGCGAGGGCCAGGGAGGATAACAAGAGGCAAAATTGGAATTAGAACCCAGGGCTGTCTTGACTGGGCTCCTTCTCCTGGGTATGCTACCTTCGTAGGAAGATTCATCAAGAATGTGTTTATTATCTGATAATTGGTACCTCTATTTTTCCTCCTCCCATGAATATGTAAATTAGTAAGTGATATTAATTCCAGCTTATGTCACATATTAGTCATAGGCTGCATGTTAGTCTATCCATTTTGGGCAGAATGTTTGTGACTGGTAAACATCTTCAGGGAGACCTCAAAAATAGGGCAGCAAAAACATCCATACCAAATTTCATCTATTTGTACGATTCTTTGGTTAATCTGTGTCTGTCTCCTTTCAGACTGCAAACTCCACGAGGGCAGGTACTGTGTTTCCTCTCTGTTCTGTCCCTCATAATAAGCTAGTCATACTAAGCATCTGTCATTTCCAGCGTTTTATACATTCTAACCCATTGAACGCTCCTTATGAGTGATCCTGTGATCATCTGA